GTTATTCATTCACCTCTTCCATAGAATCTGCCAAAGAAGAAAAGGACTCCTGGAATGTCCTTCTTACATTTGTGGACAATATGGACAAGGAAGGCAACGTCACCAAGGATCTCATCAGGTTCACACGCAAATGTCTTGCCACCTCTTTCAACAAGTCCATGGAGTACCTGTCCTCAGACATTACATGGCTGTGCCAAATGGGGACAGAGCCAACAACTGTTTTGTTGAATCCGATAATTCCTCGATCAAGCGTCTTGATCGAGGTCCAAAACCAAGCAACAAGATTCATGTTTCAGCCTTGAAATTGGCACAGCGGGACATAGCCTACGTCAACAATCTAACAGTTCAAAGTATCAAGTGTTCAGTGTCCACGTCAACACGGTCCCAGCAGACCAACACCAGTGTCCACGATGCAAATCTAGAAGAATTGACTATGCATATTATCAAGAGCAAAGCATCACTGGCTGTTGAACAGCATTGCCTAGGGTCCAACTGCTACATCTACTATCCTGGCCTCTCTAATTCCAAGGAACAGACATTTTATGTTAGGGAAAACTTGATTAGAGCTTCTGCGACAAGATTCACTAGCTGGCACCCAGCGGTTCCAAGGAAAAGATATGGATTCCATGCTGTGTGTCAGCCATCATTCAATAATGACTCACTGTCTTTCAACACACCAGAACTGTTACCATTACAGAGTCTATGTTCGACCAAGGTGCGGTTTTCACCTGTTCTTGTGTTTTTTTCCAATGTTCCAGAATAGTTTGTAGACATATCTACTGTCTACTTGGGCGTCTACCATCACACGCAGATCTACGGCCCTTGGTCTGCTACTGTTGTGAAACCATCTTCTCTGCAACACAAAAAATGGGGAGAAGCTTGGAGTTCTTCTAAAGATGGAGAATAGAATATGACAGACAGAGAACACCGCTGTTTCTGCGGAAAGGCTGGGGTGGAACTGGGTGTTTCCTGGGCTTTCTGAGAAATCAGTTTGTTTCTGATGTGTTGACAAAGAAATTGAAAATGTTGCAAGACATGAGAAGGGCGAGTTTGCATGCACCTGATCTATAACGGCTGCACGCTCTCCATTGATAATTTTTTTTAATTTTGTCTCCCAAATAATTGGGGGGCGGTCTGTCTGTTTGCCGTCTTGTAGTTTTAAGAAAATTAATAATCGAAGATTACCCGGCGCCGCCTCCACTCCTGGGCTTGAATTGCATGATGTAGTCTTTGTCTGGAGAGATCGCGCATGTATGCTACCATGAAAAACTGTGGCAAAAGCCTGATGCTACATACGAGAAGCAAGTAGGTTTGGCACTAAGTTAGTGACTGGTTTGCACCAAGTTCGAATCATAGGATTCGAAAAGGACAATCAATAGGATTGACAGGCAAACCCGGACCAAATGGGGTACCGAGCTATGGTGCAAATGAGAGAGAGGGTGGTGAGGGCGGGAAAAAGCAAAAAAGCTGACGGTCTTGACCTAGCAGCTAAGCTCCTTCTATCGTCTCCATCATCCCACAAGCTCCCATTGCGAACAATGTCTTCTCCAAATCTTCCGCCCTTCATCGACACCCTTCGCTCCGTCCGCCAACCGTGTACTTCACTGAAGCGACGTGCCGCAATCGACACGAAAATTGAGACTATGGAAGAGCTAGAAACGCCCATACGTCTCCCGTCTTGCCGATCAAGTTTCCAGTACATTTTTACATACGACACGGGGGGTGGGGGGTGGTTGACACGTTGGGGATTTGGTACCAAAGAAGAGGCCCAAGAGCAACCAAGAAGATTTAAAACCCTACAGCAAACAATGAAGGAGTTGGGTCATGCAAATCGAACCATCGACCTATTCAAAATCGATTGCGAGTGGTGCGAATGGTTCTCATACGAACAGTGGCTGAACCAGGACATTCGACAGATATTGGTCGAAACGCACAACGCTCCGATGCCAAACGTACAAGACTTTTTTCTACAAATTGCACGATGCAGGCTTTGTTATCTTCAACAAGGAAGCGAACTATCAAAATGGCGGAGGAGGCGTCGAATATGGCTTCCTGAAGCTTTCCACTGACTTTTTTGTAGACGGAAGTGTCTACGATGCCACAGCAATGAAGTAGGCACAACACACTGTATACAGGTATGCATACAGAGCTTCCTTCGGAGTGATACCATTCAACGTCTATGCACTCTTTGCTCTTGGATCCGAAACGGTGGATGTTCTACCGCAGTACACACGTACAGTAGGTTGACTTAGCCTAGTGCGACACAAGAAGACGGGGCTTCCTCATGGCGCTTCACACACTGCAAATGTAAGGATCGGTTTGTGAATGAAGCAAAAAGAATTGGATGCAGAAGCCATCGAGAATATTTGCTGTCGCATATTGACGAAAAAGGAGGAGGACTGGAAAGGGCTGACGATTGACTATGAAGCCTCCAAATCAGAGACGTTTACCGCCAATGGCCTCGCGTGCTTTTACAATGGATGTACTCTGATTTCTGCCGTATGTCTAAGCGAATCCGGCGATAAGTCGGCGTGAGCAAGCACTCTGCTCCTCCTTTTATCGATGAAATCCTCGGCAGGGAGCACTCTAATCGCCCAAAACAGCGGTTGGTGCCAAACCAATTATTTATTGCACATCATCAAAGTATCCCTGTCTTACGCTGTAGCGAATGAGGCCACGGTCGCAGTCGGTTGGTTGAGTTCCTTTATATTGCAGTAGGTTGAGGTCGGAACAGCGAATTAGTCGCCCTGCTCCTGCAGTACAGTCCGTTGATCTCACGATAACCCCACACCATATCAACAACGGAGGTGCTGTTGGATTCCCTCTTATCGGGTTGTTATTGTTGTTGTTGCTTCTTTTGTTCGGATGGTGATTCTGCGTCTGCGTCGAAGTTGTTATCATTGCCGGATTTGGCGGATTCTGATTCTTTATGATGGGTTGGGTGCCAGGGTGTTAGATATCATTCGGTTGTACGACAGGTCATTTTTCAATTTTAAGAGGACCATTTTTGGATGGTACGACCTCGGTACATATCGTAGAAGATTGCCCGAAATTTTGTTGAACAATGAATTTCTTGCATTTGTTGGTAGTGACCATGGATCCAAACGCATAACAACAACTTTGAGCACTCTGTTCCAATCGATAAAACAAAAGGAAACCATGCCACATTACCATGTCTGGTAAATCGACGTTGAACCAGCCCATGTTCCATCAATCAATTCCTGCATTTGCAGAGTGTATCTCATATACTTTCGGATCTCTTGCCACCCTCAATTACCTCCAAGTAAGCGCTGAGGAGTGAAGTCATGTATCATATCCAATGAACAGAATGTGAGCAATGTATATCATGTATCTCGCGCAATAATAAAGAGCAAATGCTCTTAAATTTTTTTTGCCCAACTCGATTGATTCAGCCACTTTCCTATCTCGGAGTGATGAGATGAGTCGTCAGTCACATCCTTCGTCATAAAAACCAACGAAACACCAACAAAACTGGTAAATAAATCCGAAATATCTCCACGGGTATCTAGCCATGATTTATCTTGATTTTATGGATGGTTTTTAATACGATCATCGAACCGATAAACAAGAAGACAAACTCCTCCTGGATCGGTCATGACATGGAGAGCTTGATTCCGATGACGGATAATATATATTGCTGTAAGATGTTAATCCTACGGATTACCAGGCACCGCCTCCACTTCATGACTCGATATCTAGCGTGATTGGCCTAGGATGATTGCATACTACGAATTTGTACCAAACAAGATTATGCCAGTCCTCCATATGTAAGTAAGAGATGTAGGTTTGGCATCGTAAGCTTGGTAACTAGAATTAGTGACCGGATTTGGAAACGGGAATCAAAGATTCGACTCAATGGACTCAAACGTGACACAAAGTTGGGACCTGGATGGTACCGAGCATTTGGTGCAGAAGAGATAAATCAGGAACCGGGTGGGATGGCGGGAAAAAAGATATAATTGTTCTGAACTGTTTCAGATGATCGTGGTTCCTTAGCTCTTCATCGTCTCATCTTGCACTTGGCAAAAAGAATGCTTCTGTTCATAGAAAAAATTATTTCAGAAACGAAACAACACGCATTCCGGCAGAACCAACCAGTCTGCCTCGCGTAGCGCTAGTACTGAATTTACGTAGAAAACTTTCGAATTTATCACCAAGCCAACCATTCGACACCGGCGCACCATGGGCAAATCTATCAACGCGAAGGCATCCTCGGCGATGACAAAAAAGTCGGGCGTGTCTAAGATGAAAACGATCCCTGTGGCTAAAAAGTCCGTCAAGAAACGAGTGGAAATT